TCCTCTGGCTTTCCCCCAGCTTTGATCCTCACCCTGAGGTGATGCCAGGGCCAAGGGCCCGGGGCCTGGCTCTGCTTACCTAGTCTGAAGGCCCCAGACTCACACACACTAACACACACATACACACTCACACATACACTCACACACCCTCACACTCAGGCACACTCACACACCCCGCCAGACCACGTCTGTCTCATGCCCAGCCTCCCCGTCCCAAGAGTCAGGCCAAGGGCTCGCCATGGGTTATTCTCATGGGGACTTGGTTAGATGTAAGAAAGGACTTCCAGAAAGTCGTGAAGACGGCTGACCGTGCTGCTGCGCTAGCTCTTGGCAACTCCAAACCCTTGGCTCTTCCCAGCACTGCACCGCTCTCCTCCCGCCCACCCCCCCGGTCCTCAAAGTGGGACAAGTGATTTCTGCGGGGGTGGGGATGCAGGGTGAAAGGGGGTCCCAAAGCATGGAGAACTCTCCCCTATAGCCTCTCACTGGCACCGTCTCTCCCGTCCCAGTGCCAGCCCTAGTCCAGTCCTGTCCTCAGCTCTCTGATTGGAAACTGGGTCCTGTCCAGGCATTGTCTGCCTTCCACGGCCAGCTGCCCATTGAGGTCTGGCGTGTGTGGGCTGGGCGCTCGTGCAGGGCAGGAGGGGAGGAGTGGGCAGAGCCCTGAAGCCCCTGAAGGCCTGGCTCTTCCCATGCTCAGACCTCCCCACCCCTCGGTCCAGATGAGCACCCTGAGACAGAGTGGAGGCATCAGGATGCCATGGGGCAATCTTGTGGGAGCAGTGGTGACACTGGGCACCCAAAGAACTGGGAGCAGTGGGCAGGCACAATGCCCTCTGGGTGGGAAGGCTCCCGGAGCCTTCCGGTGGTGGTGGTGATGGGAACGGAACGCCCACTCTTCCTCACTTTGCGAAGTGTCAAGGCCGTGGGCTTTCCACGCCTTACCACGCCCCAGTCTAGTCTGGGGGCCCTGATGGAGGTGGGGAGGGGGGCTTTGTCTGGCTGTCTCCAACAAGATGGAGTCTAAAGGAAAGCCCCCTGGGAGGGGCACCCTAGGCCCCCTCCTTCCCAGACCTTGTTCAGTTTCCCTTTTATGAGGGGCCTGGACTCAATCTGCAGCAGCTGCCTTATTTACATTTCTCACTCCCACCCCATAACGCACCTTGCTGCCCTGTCGACCTCAGCAGGATCCTGCAGCAAAGTCGCCCCGGCAGCAGCCTGGCCCCGCCCTGGCTGGCCCACCCAGCACCTGTGGGGCTTCTCTTTGTCTCTGGCTGTTCAGGGCCAGCAAGTCTGTGCCCACGATGCTCTGAGTGCAGCCGGGGGCACAGAGGGCACGGGGTCTCATTCTCTTTCCCTCGACCCCAGGGCTGTGATCAGCAGTCCACTGATCCTCTCCGACCTGCAAAGGGCTGGCCAGGTGTTGGGGGGAGGTGGGGGGACACCTGCCCGGGGCAGGAAGGGAGAAACTCTTCTGTAGTCATCTCTGAGAGGCTGCCCCGGCATCCTGGAATCTGGGTCACCTACAAACCAGGGAATCTAGAGATCTGTCTCAGACCCCGCCTAGACGCGGACCCACACCCCCACCCCCATCACACAGAGATGGATGACGTCCACCTTGCCTGCCCTGGTGACCAGTCCCAGATTGGCACTCTCCCATAACAGACCCTCTCAAAGAGAAACATCCAAATCAAAACCGGGGAGAGGTGGCACCGTGTGGCGGACCCCCACGCAGCACAAAGAACACAGTGTCTCCCACCCTGCACCTCTGTGTGCCCTGTCCTCTGCCCACCTCACTTTGCCAGGATGTCCCTTCAAGTCCCAGGTAAGTCCATGCAGCCCTCCCAGCTCAGCTGTCTGAGGCCTGAGAACAGGGCATCAGTGTCACAGCCTCCTGCCCTCTCAGGGGCAGAATCTCAGGTACACCCCATCCTCCCTCCTCAGCCGCAGCCCCAGCCCCTCTCGGGACAGGCCCCGCAGGGTCCTCTCCAAAGCGGCTGACTCCCCACGGAGGGCCAAGGCCCCTCCCAGCTGTTCCATTCGTCCTCACTCGATCTTTGTCTGCGGAACCGGCCCCAGGCAGCGTACTGCCTCCCCAGCTGGACCAAGAGCACAGAACCAGCGGGCTAGGGTGGATGCGGGGAAATTTCCCCCATCCAACATGCCCGCAAGAGACAGCAGCCCGTGGGGAAGCGAAGAGGAAACAGACGCTCCAGCCTGGGCCAGGGCTGGGTGTGAAATACCGGATTTCCTTGTTTATTCGATTTTCTGATCATTAAGGGCTCCCAAGAGGGACCCGAAATTACCACCCAAACAAAGCCACCTCCAGCCGCCCGCGGGGCCGCCAATCCCTGCAGGGATCCAGCCAGCACGCGGCGCCCTCCAGCCTGGCCCGCCCGACCTCCGCGGGCGCGGGCCTTGAGTCGAGCAGCGTCTCAGGACCCCCGGACCCCCGCCCCACGCGAGACAAAGCCGAGCCCTCCGCGCACGCGCCCCGCCGCCCGTCCTACCTGATGGCCACCTTGACGCAGCAGTCCCCCTGGCCAGCCATGGTGCTCCGGCGCCGGGTCCCGCGTCGTTCAGGGGCGGGGGTCCGGGGGCCAATGCCCCGGGCGGCGGCTGCGGCTGCGGGAGGCCGGGACGCGGGCGTTGCGGGCAGAGGCTGCGGCGGCTGGAGGTGACATGCTCGCGGGCGGCCGGCGGAGGGCTCACCCGCGATCGGGGGAAGCCCCCCGGGCCCGGGCCCGCGCGCCCCCTCGCGCCATCGGGCAGCGGCGCGGAG